ATTGAGAATTTGGCGGAATGAAAAATGAAATAGGTAGTACTCCTCATTCTCACCCGTAGACATCTCTGGTTGTAAAACACGTGCATGTTCATCCTACTACTTAACTTTTTTTTTTTTTTTTTGTTCTCTAATTTAATTTATTATTATTATTTACTAAATAGACTGAAAAGGATCTTCTCAAAATTATTTTTTTTTTATGATTTTTAAACACCGGTAAAAATGATTTAATTGTCTAAACAGCACTACAAATTTTAGGATTACAATTTATTTATTTTGGAGTTGGAGGATGGAAGATTAATGTATAAAAGAAAACTAATAACAATTAAAATAGTTTTGTTTCTTTTTTTTATTATTATTACAACGTTTTAAGAAAAACGAAAATAAAAGGGACTTTCAAAAAATGGATGGAGAAGGGGAGGCGAAGTGGCTGAAAAGTGGCGTCCATATATAAAAGGAGTTAACATTCCAAACAGAATTGAGCGCCAAAGCTTTTGTCTCTATTTAAAGAGAATGAAATTCTCGGTGAAGACATGGGGCAACGGCAAGGCGCGCACCGGATTTCTACAGCTCGTCCACTGCGCTTCCGCCATGGAGACTCCCGCGTTACTTCTCTCTACTCGCGAAGGACTGCCTAATTTCATCTCTCCTGATCTTCTTCCCTCTCTCCCTTCGCCTGATTCTCACCTCCTCCAATTCAGTCCTCTTCACTTGTAAATATTCTACACAATCCCACGCCTTCAGCTGCATTCAATCGTTTCATTTTAATTCGATTTGCGTTCGATGTACTGATCACTCACTTCATTCGCGTTCACTGTGTTTCTAAATTGGAGTGTCTCGCTCTACTTTGTTGCATGGATTTTCTTTTCATTTATTCGTTCTCGTATAGCTTAAGATTGTTTGTCTGCGAGGACGATTCCTGGACTATAAACTATTCTACAATCATGAGAATAGGACTGGCTAAAGCATGAGATAAGAAGTTCGTACTTGTAAATAATCGCGCGGTACCTTTTGGATTTTTCTAGGGGAATATGTCATAGGAAAGGACGATTACTGGCGATGGATGTAGAGCGTGTAATCATGGAAGTTGGAATGATAATTATGTCGCTGTGATTCTTAACTATCTGAACGGCTGAGTTAATGATGCAACGACTAATTTATGATGTTGCGATTTATGCTCTAGGCTCTTCTTACACAGCTTATCTATGGATTTTTTTTATAATCATTTGTATGCGTGAAAGAACAGTCAATAAATTTGTGGAATCCATTGCTTTTATCCATCTTTGGTCCTCGATTCAACTTCCGTACATAAATAAATTTTTAACTCGTAGATGACATGCTGTAATGAAAATTTAGTTCTCTCTTTAGATTTATCAGATGACTTCATTTTTGTACAGGTACGAGGTACATTAATTGATTCTCTACGTCGTTCTCGATGTTGGTGGCTGTTTTTCTTTAGGCACTTTATGCTCCTGTTACAGTTCTCATCCAAAATATCGGCTTAGATTTTCTTGATTCCATCTTGTATTAAAAAATTGGCTGTCCTTCACTGTGTTGTTAACAAACAAGTCTGGTAGAAAAAAAATATTTCAAGTATAACATGAAGATAGTTGTTTTTAATTGATATTGGTTTGATGTTAGTCACATTGACTTTTTTATCATTTATATCATAGCATAGAAGGTCATTCATCAAAAACAATATCAAGTATTGGAGGGCTATAGCATTTACTTGGTTTACATGAATATGGATTTGCAGCTGTAGCAAGGGATTCTGTTCAGTGCCTTCCTAAGTGTGATGCTACCAATAAGTTTGGAGCATCTTTTGAGACTACTAGGGGTCGTCGTTCGGTAATGGAATCTCACTACTTGTTGCATCAACTTTTGCTATCTATCTTTAGTATATAATTTGGAAAACTAGTTTCTAAGTTCGCTTTGTAATTGTAGATTAGACCTGTTGCGTAAATTGAAATGATTTCGTGCATGAAACCAGACATTTGGGCCTCCTTGACTGATGAAGTACCATCGTGGGTTTCAGATAAAAGGAATAAAACATCAGTGGATCGAACTGTGAAATGGCTGGATGAATGCATCACAATGAACTCAGTAAGAACGCTGGGATGCCCCTTTTATATATCAGCATCTTGTCTGGATTTGAACTCTGCTAGATGTCTAATGTTGAGAAATGTAGGTCAATGAGAATTATTTCTAAGCATTTAGATAAGCAGTACATAATTGCTCTTTCGTAGTGTGTTGTGTGTTTTAAACTTCAACAAGTGGCTAGGCCCATAGAGAGAAAATAAGTTGGGAAAAGCAGCAGTAAAAAAAGCATTTGGTTGTGCAATTCTATAGGGAAATTTATAGCATCATAGTGCTTAGATAGGAAAATTCATGAACGAGCAGAAAGTAGGCCAAAATTTCCAGAGCAAGCTGGCCAAAGGAGGGGAATTCTGGTCCCTTTTAAATTGATAGAAATGACATAATTCTATCAGATAAGAATGTTGTGACATAATTCTATCAGATAAGAATGTTGTGAAAAAGTTTGGTGGATTTCTTTAAACACTTGTTCATGGTAGGTGATCATCAGAGATTTTCCAAAATCTAAATACTAGAGTGATTGATTGGACAGGCTTTTACTTGCATATTTTAGGTATAGATTCTCAAGTGTAAAAGGGTTAGGTGCCTAAAGTTCCCTAGACTAGGTGCCTATGGGTAACGATTGGATTGTGGTTTCCCACTAGTATTTTAGAAGTGGTTGTTAACAAATGCACAAATGAAACATTTTAATAGCTTTGTTGTTTCTGGATATTATGGCATGAGATAGCTGTTCGGTGCTTCCAGAGTATCATTTTAATAGCTTTCAAAATGCCCTCAAATCAAGAGTATCGGGCCATATACATGCAGCAGAATTTATAGGTTGTATATAAATTTTTCATATGAAGAGATATTCTTAATATTTTTAGAGTGTATCTAAGTCATATGACTGTTGCCTTTTCTGATAAGAGTCATATGGCTGTTGTTGACTCATTAATGCAAAAGCAATATGGGAATGCTGTCATGACTCATGGTGTAGTGATAGTATTTAGTCTTTACGTGTAGGTTTGGTCCTTATATTTTTCTCTTTTCCCAATCATGTCAAGAGTGATTTGAAACAAGTAACTTATTATTATAATGAAGACAGGTGGAGCTGTTTTTGGAGCTATTGTTGGAGACAATGATGTAGAAGAACGTCAAAGATGTGCTGCGGAGGTGGTTAAGCGTTATGTATCAGGTTCAATAACTTGTTCTTTGTATATAAGGTGAAACAGTGGTAATTAGTTCAAGAATTAATTGCTGTAGAGCTAATTTTGTGTTATATCAATTTCTAGCTTCTTGCAGAATTTGTCTAGACTATCAAAGTTCTTAATAGCCATTAACATAACAAATAAAATTTTGAACAGAATGTCAATATTTGTGTTCCTCGACCCTATCTAGCATGTAAGGAATGATTGTTTTCCCGTTGCATTTTGTTCAGTTAAATTGATCATTTCTATCATAGTTTCTGGCCGCTTATTCTGATTTCTCAGTTTGAACAAACAATTTTTGGTAGCTTACTGGATTGGAGGTTTTGGGCTTGGAGAGAGCAAGGATGAGCGTCCTGCCCTTCCTGATGCCGTTACGGTAAGGATTTTGCTTGTAATGCTGTTAGGTTTGTCTTTTGGAACATTGCCATCCTTTTTCTGCACCAACTGAGAACGTGGATGTTTTGCATGTGAACTATACTAGCTTATGAGTTGAACATTGAAGCTTTAAGAGTAGCAAGTTGGATTTGTTTGTGTAGTCCTCTGTTAACAATCTGTCGGAGTTTGGTTTTTTTTTTTTTTTTTTTGAAGTTTTTTCTATTCTCTTTACGCTCATAGCCCTTGATGATTTTTTTTCAAAGACAAATAAAAAGGCAACTTCACTGTGATTCTCATTACATCCATATCCCTTTGCTTCTCCCTCTTTCTCTGCGTCACTTTCCGTATCCTTTCTTTTCTATTTTCACTCTCTGTATTCTAAGTAGCTCTATCCAGAGCTGTGTTGCCTCATGTCCACTTTTATTACACATTTTCCCGCATGTGTTTTGTAAGCGAAAAGGAAATGTACTACTTGCAATTCTTTCATTCCTTGCACAGGATGTTTTCCCAGAGGAAATGCCCCGCGTGATCTGTGGGCTTGGACTTCCAGGTATAGTTTTTCAATCTTTTAGATCAAGTTGCTTGACCAACTTAAGTGTACCTCAATTTGACCAAGAGTTGCATGAAGCATGCGTCTTGTTTTGACTTTTGGTTGGATTTCGTGTCCACCCTGTGGAAGCTGGAAATACATATTTCTAATATTTTATGGAACCTAGGCTATGTTGGTTTATGGCTTTAGTAAGCCTAAATTTTTGTAGCTTGTGACTAAGTTTGGGTTTAATAATCATCACTATTAATGCAGACTTTATGATCCTTTTTGTAATATTATTGTGAGTTCTCTGGCCCCTAGAAGAGCATTTTGTAATTGTCGTTTGTCAATCAAACTAGTTTTGTCTAAATATCTCTTTTGTTAACATATAGATAAGACAGACAGACATATAAGGCAACACCTCTGACAAAATGTTGGATGGCCCCTGACAAATTATTGTGTTAACTGTTCAAATCACTTGCTAAATGTCCATGAAATGCTGGCTCAGATACTGCTGGAGTTGTATGAACATTTCACTACTTGAAATATACTTAGTTGTCCCAATCTTCATTCTCACAGTAATAATTCTCACCTTATTGCAGACATAACACTCATCATTACCTAGGATTCTTTCGATCAATCCGAGAAGCAATCAAGGCTGGAAAATTTCAGCAAATTCTTCAGAAATTTGCTGAGGTGAGGCGCAATCATCTAGCCTTGGCAACATTGGCACTCGGCTCATGACGAGCTCGTCAAACAAGTAATTTTAATACTGAAAATAATGTAATGTTTCATTAAATTATGTTATGAACTGATCATAATATTAGAAGCAAGTATGCCTCGCCTCTATATTTTCACCCTCATAATTCCTTGGTTGATAGGGGATCTGATTGGAGATATTGGTCCATCTAGCATCTAAGCTCTTTTGTTGATTATGTAACATAATAATACATTAGACATATTCATCAATAGGGACTTAGGATATGATAATTTTAGGATACAGTGAATACCTTAGTTTATAAAAGAGTATCCTACATCCTTAAAAGCATGCTTAACAAAGTCTTCTGTTGCTTCACGGGTAAGAAATTTAATGGTATCAGACGTCAAGACTATAAGGTAGCTGCAGAATACGTCTGGAATATATGAGACAATATCTGCTTGTAGTTACCAGTTTCAATATCAGTATTGGGATCGATAAAGTAGGGTACCTGATATTTAGGATTTCGATATTTAATTAATAGTGTAGACAAGGGAGAGGGAACAGTCAATGTGCAATGTATATAAACGATAGGAATAAACGTGGCACATAAATCATACAACACAAGATCAACAAGAAATCCAACGGAAGGCTCCCCATAACAAGGATTATCTTGATCGATCCATCTGGATCGGTCGATTCTGTAAATCTCATTAACACTGTTATCATCTCTCCTTAACCATGCATTTTTTTTTTTTTTACATACTTCTATATTTTCAACGAAAAATTCTCTTTTTGTCCCCTAGTTTTCTTGCAATTACTTTTTTTACCCTTGAAGTTTGAATTTAATTTTCATCATAAGTTTCAAAAAGTTACATTTAAGTTCAATTTCTATTTGGTTCCTAGGTTTCAAAATGAAAGATTACGTTTTTACCCTTGATGTTTGAGTTTAATCTCTATTTGGTTCCTAGGCTTCAAAAAGTTACATTTTTACCTTCAAATTTTGTGTTTAATTTTCATTTGGTTCCTAGGTTTCAAAATAATTTCTAACTGTTTCTAATTGTTTTCAAAAAGTTATATTTTTACCCTTCACTTATGCTTTATTTGGCTTTTAGGCTTCAAAGAAAGTTTGGTGATGCTTGGGGATGAAACTGCAACACAGTGGGTGAACTGAAGATTTCAAACACGGAGGCAGTGTCGGTTCCTATGGATAAGCAGAACCAGATATTAAAAAAGAAAAGCTTGATAGTAGGTGGGTGGAGAAAGAATGAGTTTGCTCAAATTGAGTGAAATGGTATGGTTATAGAGATCTTATTGGTTCCCCATATTATACAAAGCGATCAATGAAAGATTGTATGAGCTATATATGCAGCTTTTTTAAGTGGTTTATCTAAAGCTTGTAGAACTGATTTTCTGAGATTAATTTTTGCTGTTCTCTAATTGTTAAGTTTCTAAGTTTCTTAGTTTCAGTTGGAGTGATATGTTGCCATGTTTTATAATAGGATGTTACTAAAGCTTGTAGCTGTTCAAATGTCTCAATGAAAAATGCACGTTTATTGAAATACATGTGTACTCTTCGTGGAAATTTTTATTACCAAGCAATCTCGGTTTCTCATAAGAAAAATCCGCCACCCATGCCCATAAAAATTGATTACGAAAGATGAAATCAAAAGCGATTTGGCAAGTGTGAAAAAGGCCTCTGGAGGGTTGTGTTCATATCGTTGGAAGAGGACGAATTCGAGGCAGTGGGAAATGATTTCTACACCCCCAAAAAAAGGGTTGCAAATGGATTTTTTCGGTTTCAAAGAAAACTGGTTGGAATACAAAATAAATGGAGGTTTAAAGGAATTTCTTATGCAGAACAGGGAATTTCCAAGCTAGTAAATGATCCGACTAGCTTTACGACAAATAAAGTCTCTCGGGGTTGCAAAAAAAGGGTAGTTGAAACTTGGAAGAAAAAGTTTGAAGTTGAGGCTGAGGTTGACAACACATGGAAAGAAAACTACCATTGTAAATAGTACTGTAGTAAATAACAACATGACCTCAAGAGCATGCAGAAATTCATTCAGACGGAACCATAAATCCATAATTATAATAGTAAACAGTAATGTGGGTTGTGTAGTCAGTAGCGAACCTCTTTTGATCCGGAAACGTCAAGAAGTAGCTTTGTCCGTAGAGATCCTTCTCCCACGTTATGAAGGATGTAAGGAAGCTCCAACTCACATAATGCCTCGCGCACAATTCGAGCATACTGGAAAGATGAACAATATTTATTTTACCTCAATACATCAGAAGTATAACAAAATACTAAAGTTTACACTCCTAATCATTGTCAGCACGCATTGATCCATTCACATTCTTAGAATGGAAAATTATCGTGCTGCTTATCTGGAGACTCGGGGCATATTTAGGCAGTGTACTAACCCAAAAACCAACTACTATTCGGTTGCAAATTCCGACCTAACAGACCCTAACTACTAATAACAGACCACCAGATTAAGCAAACTGACATATAAGAACAATCAAAGCAGAGTAATTTAGCTGCTAATGACGGTTATCTCAGCAGCCTAGTCTTTAACTGAGGTTATAAATGAAATTGAAAAGGTGAGATAAACACACCACAGGCATGTGTAATATAGGGAGGATAGCTCATCACTGTACCGGATTGTTTTCGTATGAGAAAAGTTCCAACTTTTTTGGCGGTGGGTCTGTCGAGGCCTTTCCCCACAATGTCATTCCTCTACCAGCCCTAAGAATTGTTGGCATCCACCCCGTAAACAATGTACTACATAAAACAAATATTTAGATCACGAAGGAAAGAAGAAGCAGAAGCAGAAGCAGAAGCAGGAGGAAAAGATTATAGGTCTGCACACCGCACAAAACATCCGTGATATCAGATAACTCTTTCTTTCTGATGCATGTTAAAGATTGTGAGAACTAACATGGGTTTACGACGCTGTTTCTTTTTAGAGCTAAAAAGAGCCACACAGCAACCTCTTGCAGCTGGGAAATGTTTGATTCGATTCATGCTGCTATGTACACAACACCAAAAAAAAGAAGGAAAAAAAAGAAGGAAGAACGCCGCAGGTAGTACAGCTAAAATGGTTTTGCATGTTATGAAGGGGGGCCACGTACTTCCCAAACTAGCACTATTCAACATGCTTAACTACTGTCTTTGGATCCGATGCATTATTGTCGGTAAGATCACATTAGTACCGGTAATTAAGAACATAATTACCATTATTATTATTATTATTATTATTATTATTATTATTATTATTATTATTATTATTATTATTTTGATAGACCAGTGAGAAAAAATGAAAGAATTAAGAACATAAATAATTACGAAAATTAACAAGTCAAACAGCTATCAAACTTGTTCTCCCAAACAACTATAAGAATCTCAATAACAAAAAGGTTAAGACGTCCAGTTACCTTTCTAAAAGCCCTGTTGAGGGGTTTCTACCATTTCCATACTGATGAAAGAGGTATTTCACGATATCACCTATGAGCAAAATATAGAACACATGCATGTAATAGAATAATCAAATAGCATGGAAGCTGGCCAAGGAAAGTGAAAGATAAGAAGAAAAACTGGATGAAAGATTTTGTATCTCATTTGGAGGATACTTGCGTTTCCCTTCATGCCTATCCAACATCAATGAAAAGTTTTGGTTTGTAAAAAATTGCTAAATTTATCTGGTGAAAGTAGATTATATTCTTTTCTTCGAAGTAAATTTATCTGGTGGAACTCAAAATTCAGATCGCATGAGTTGATATACACTATTCTACACATGCAAAACATGAACGATCACAACAAAAAACGTGAATTAAAGCAATAAAGCATTAGAAAAGTTGGGGAATGTGGATACTATAACAATAGGAGGCTTAATCACTTACCACTTTCATACATTGAAGTACTGGTATTTGGATCAATAAGAAAAGGAAACCTGCATTTACAAGTCTTAATTGAGAAGATGAAGTGACATATGTTTAGAGAAATAAAAGCATGTCATTACTTCTTATGCTATTTTATGGTTGGTTAAAATCCAAAATAAAGTCGCAGAATAAAACCATGCCTCCACAATTGAAGGACCTCACAGAAAGGTGTATATTTTGTTGGATAAGATTGGTAAATGAAGTGGTATAATGGAACCATTTCTTCTTATTAAAAAGGTGTATAATTGCAAAAGCATTAGCATAAGCCAAAAAATTAGCTAAAAGCGAATTCATTGCAGTCCTTATTTTTCACCTGAAAATTCTTCTATATCATTCTAACTGGAAGTCCTAAATCAAGGCCTTACCACATTCTCCAAAAAATTTCCACCTGCCTATTGTAATTGTGCACATTAGTAGTTGCTCTATATTCTCGAGCATAAATGAAAAAACTCACTGAACTTAGTTTTTTCTTTGATCATATGAATGAACTTGAACCAAGCATCCCAAAAGCATTTCTTGGCAGACATTAAGGTTCCAATTAAAATTGTGCACCTATCATCCTAGGAGTCAATTCATCTTTACTCCAGCCTCTCCCTAAGGGTCAGTCATATACTTCCCCTCTGGTTGATGCTACACCTTTAACAAGGTCAACAGAGAAAGATCCTTATAAGATTCTAAGAGACAAACGGCTGAAGACCATCTAGTCAATGATCCTACCTCTCCATTTTCAACCAAAACCCTTCTTCCAAAGCACCTTATCTAAAAAGTCTCAATCCACAAGATTACCTTGCAAAATCATTTTTCTTTTTCATAATAAACCCAAAAAAGATATATATATATATTTACAAAATTTATTTTCATTAAAGAATCTTATCATTTAGAAATATGAATCCCGGCTAACAGAAGCTAACAAAATTATTAACAGAAAATGTCCTTGGCATATAACTCCAAACTACAAACTAATAAAATGTTTTTTTTTTTAATAAAAAAACTATATTTTATAACTGTAAGTGTCAAAGCCAACAATACATGAACTAGTCAAATGGGACAATTGCTTCGCCATGCAATGCTCAGTATTAGAGAACTCATAGCAATGCTAAAACCCTAGTAGGTGGCTGTTATAATTAAACTCGTGACTTCAAAGGCATTTGGGCTTACAAGTAATCCTTTGGACATTTGACAAATTAAAGGTGGTTTCTTTCAAACTGTACATTTGTAGGTCGGAAAGAAAAACACAACTGATTAATTTTTATATTTGACAAATTAATACACCTTTTATCAGACTCCATTCATTCTTTATGGCACCTTAAAATGATCTTGAATAAACTGAAATATGGACTAAATAGAAAGAACCACGTACTGCTCTTTGCCACCACATTTCTTAACTATGTCCCGATGTCTAATGGAACCCTTAGGACAAGGATACACCTGCATAATATGCCGGTAAGTTTTGAACAGCTAATACATTGAGTTAATAGTTTGATGCAAAGCATTAAGTGGACTAAACATTCGAAGCAAACAAAAAGTGATAGTTTGGCCGAAGTTAACAGGGATCAATATTGAAGTCAATTAAATTTCATTCTTTCTATAAGACAGTTTAGATGGAGTACCTCGAAAGATGAAATTCGTTCCTTCTAATGGAGAAAACTAGCTAAAATGCAACTTCCAAAAACTTCCTGAATGTTTATCCTCAGTCGAATAATATGATAGAACATTATAAAACTGATGGCAGTATAGAAAAGAACATACGCAGCCACTTAACCTTCTCAAATTAGATTGTATCAGATGGTCACACATAACATATACAACATCAATGATAGGAATTAAGGAATTTCTTTTAGAAGTAAAAGCAATCAGAAGGCTGGTTGTAAGAAGTGAAAATAGAGAAACTTGATACAGAAACAATTTAGTCATTGAGCTACAGGAAGCAATCAAAACTAGTTTTTATGTATCTTTTCGATCCATTGAAGTCAAGTAGAAGCTTGAGATCAACCCGATATTCGAAGAAAACAGTCAAAATCAAAGCTAAACCAAATCCATTTGCATGGAATAAATCTTTTGTAGATATCAGAGTGATTTAGAGCAGTTTAAAACGGACTAGAAATGGCAATAAAGTTAACAGCTCAAATGTTTATTAAAATTTAGCCATGAGATATTGATGCAACAAAAACTAAGTCGACCAATTTATTTCATACCTCTACTAAAAGATCCAATTCAGTTAAGGCCTCTCGAACCCTCCTGCAAAAGGGGCATGCCTCTGCCGACAAGTAAGATTTGAAATGAGAAAACTTGTAAATACTGCTATTCAATAGCTAAGATTAACTGCTCCGGAGAAAAACTTGGAGTAGAGTACAACACAACTTCTTTCAAGAATTCCACGACAGTATATTTCAAAACTGCATTCCTTATTGTAACCAATTCATAAAGCCACTTTGACTCTGGATATCTTCCTTGTAAACTTCACAAAAATCATCCTCCTTCTTGAGTAAAATATATTTTATTCAATATAATCTCTGCTTTCTATCAACATTGAATTCCATAAAAATTAACCCTGAGATATCAGAAGGTAATATTATTTTGGCTTCCGACATAAGATAACTGCAAAGTTAAAAACAGACATTACCAAATTCATAGAGTTGCAAAGGCAACAGAGGCTCCAAATTAATATTCCTATTGCTTTGAGAACTATCCGACAATGTTCTTGATCCCCATGGAAGCCTTGCCAGTGTAGATAAGGAAGATGTGGCTACCTGCTCTATAGCAACAAGATGAGAGATGTCATAGAAGGATACTAGCAAGCTATTCAGAGTAGCATGATTGAGAAATGCAGGAAAAAGCGTGTAGCAACAAATAAAAAGGTGAAAAAAATATTAACATTGTCCTGACCAGAAAATATAAACAGTTATTAGGTTAAATTGTTAGTAATGTAAGCATGTTAGAAGAATATTGAAGAACGGATAGGCTACATCTAGTTAATCCTATGTGAGTAAATCAGTCTGACATCTCTGTGCGATTAAGTAATAAACAGTCAAAAAGTAGTCGTAGATCTACCGTGTAAAGCTGTCAGTTCTATTTATTTGCATTGATATAATATATAATCTTAGAACCATAACAAGATCTGTATCAGTCTACAATATGTTCCAGAAAGAAATTACGTATGGTAGAAGTAACTATGAAAAGAAGATAACAACAATGATTGTAAAAATACCGGCGAAACACAAAAATAAGGAAACGCATTGAACGAAAAAAACAATCCAGAGGGTAAAGAGCGAAAAATTATTGCCTCCAAAGTAAAATTCCTCTCTCTCGAAGGATCTCCAACCTACAATTCAAAAAAATGAAGATGAAGATTATTAACATGAGGAGGTAAAGTTAAATGAAATGAGAGAAAAGGATCCTGTTCTATGGACGAAGAAATGAAATGAAGATTAGAAGTAACACGCGACAGTTCTTAGACTCTTTCGGTGGATATCAATGACAATTAATCAAGTCAGCTTCATCGGAAACGCTAATTGAAAAGCATGTAAATGCGCAAGTTTATACATATATATTTACAATTTACTCACAGCGAAAGTATTGAGCAAAGGACAGAGATAAGATAGAAAGCTTGTAGAAAGCTTGCTTCCATTGCTCGAAACTGCATTACTTTCGGGCGAATGCTGAGCTCGAGGTTCTTCAGTTTCAGCACCTGAGCGAACAGAGTTTGCGTGAAACCTGTGTCTGCGTGAAGAAATTCTCAAAAATTTTGATGAAATCGGAAAGAGATTCCGATTTAGAAGGACGGATGTGGTTGCTTGGTTGAAGCTGCGATCGGAAAGAACGATTTGTAGAGAGGAATAATATGGAGTAGTGAAAGAAAACGATGACATTCTAATCGCCTGTTTGGCTTCAAACCTCAAACTGCCCAAATCTTTTGGGATGACTAATATATATACATATATATATATTCCCTCCTCTTTTTCACTTTTTGAGGCAAATACATTTTAGGTTAAAATAATATTTTAATCCTATACTTTTATTTTCATCTTATTTTAGTATTTATACCTTCATTATCTAAATTGAGGGTACGTAGTTTTAAATTTAATTTTTATCGAAACTAATTAAATAAAAACATTCTTACCGAATAAATAGAGGCTGTGAGTATGTTTCCAAAATTTATAGAAAAAGGATTAATAGATGATAATTTTAAAGAAAACAATAAACTGTGTTAAAATAAATTGAATTTAAAGAAAGTACAAATATTACTTATCCCAAAATAGAGATTAAAAATTATTTTTATCCTACTTTTTAATATATATATATACACAGAGTACACCAACGGAAATAGTTTATAACAGGTTTTAAAATAATAAAAATGGATTTTATTTTGTTAAATAACAAAAATTGAACAAAAAGGTATAGATGTCGGTAGGCGGAAAAATGTATAAAAAGAACAACAAAAGCTTTCACACCAAAATTTCCAATTTTCACACATCAATTCATTTTATTTAATTGATCTGTCCACTTTCAGTGATTTTATTTGGTTTTATTTAATTTTTTAAAAAATTGTGATTTTATTTGGTTACTATAACCCCATATTTAATAATACTTTTTTATATAAATATAAATAAAAGATACCTACTTTTTTTCTGTGGAGGGTACGTTGGGTATTGTGCTTTTATATAGAACCTGCAGTGCGTGCCGAATTTACATTTACAATTTCACACTTTGAGGAAATAAAACGACAGGTGCAGCAATTTCCGTGTACGATACGATGAAAAAATTTACAAAACTTTTTAAATTTAATTTAATAAAATTGAAATATTTTTATTATTATTGTTCCTTCTATTATCTTCTACCACGTGCATTAAATATAATTGACCAATTATATATATAGTCAGTTTATTCAGTGCCTCGGTCTATGAACGGCCCACTTGTATTGGAAACTTGGAGTTGGAGGCCGACATTTCTTTACAATTTGCAGATGTGCCCATTAACTCTCAGAAATTCACTTTTCTATCACATTAATTATATCATATCTCTGTATGTATTTTTGAGCACCTGTTTTTCACGTAATTAATTAAACATTTCTCATGTACTCCACAACAAATTTTAAATCACTCGAGAATACTTTCAACGCAGTAAAAGTAAAAATATTTACAGCAACTTATTAAACTTATTACTCTTCAAAATACACAACTCTACTGTTAAAAAAAATCTGGAAAGTAGTTAATTTTGTTTTTAAATTTAAGATAAAATAATTAAATTAATAAAGCACAAAATGAAACACACACAGCATAGTGACGAAAGCAATGACGTGGAGAAACATCCTTACACGTGTAGCATAGTCATTGGGCAAAATATAATTAACCTAAAATTAAAGCAAGCTGTAAAAATATAATATAAGCAGTAAAAGGATAAAATACAAGAGCCAGGGTGCAAATATATTTTTCTGATAATATAAACAAGAAAAAGGAGAAGAGAGGCAATATTATGAATGCAGTTGAATGGTTAAGGAATTAACACGCGTCCAAAGTTTGAATGTCAACCTTCCTCCCAATTGTGACTGAAAATTTTGACCCGATAATATTTAATTAATATTTGAAATTGACTTTCCTCTTGGATTTCAACCTATAAAAATCCCAAAACCCAAAATCTTTCTTCGTCTTTCCCATCGGCTCAAACTCCAGCTTAATCCAATAATATACAGTCAACCACTCAAATATGGCTTCCAATTCCACCAGTTCCTGTGACACGAAGAAATACAAGGGCGTACGGCGGCGTAAGTGGGGGAAGTGGGTGTCGGAGATTCGAGTTCCGGGCAGCCAAGAGCGGCTGTGGTTAGGTTCTTACTCGTCGCCGGAGGCCGCCGCCGTGGCTCACGATGTCGCATATTATTGCCTGAGAAGACCCTCAAACCTGGACCACCTCAACTTCCCGCCGACGGTGCTGCCCTTGACCAACCACCTTCTTGTCCGAGACGACGTGTCGCCTGGCTCCATTCAGAAGGCAGCCTCCGACGCCGCCATGGCTGTCGACGCACAGTATATATGCAACAACTTGCCTGACCGGGACAGCAGCGGCGGGGCAGGGACATTTCAGAACTATACGGCGCCAAATGATCAAGATCTTTCCGTTGAAGATTATCTGTGAGTGTTAATTTGATGACGAAATCAGCGCGTCCTCGAATCAACGGCTGGGATGGGACGAATACGATATGTATTAAGTAGCGATCAACTTTCCATTAGAGTGCTGCCGGGGTCAGCCAGGCTTTCCAACTTTTCGATGGTTTAGAGTCAACACTACTGATTTAATTGTATATATTAATTAAATAAAAATACATTGAAAATTGTGGTCGTATCCTAGGAAGTAGAAAAGCTGGGTGCTTTTTGTTTTTTTTGGTGAGTATTTATGATATATCATGGGTAGCTCCAACGATGCTCTGTTCGTGAGAGGTTTCCATACTCATAAAAGAAATGTTTCGTTTCCCTCTCCAATCGAGACGTGGGATCTCACAATCCACCTCACTTGGGGTCAGCATCGCTAGCACATCACCTGGTGTTTGACTCTGATATCATTTGTAACAACTCTAGCCCACCGCTAGCAAATATTATACATTTTACCCTGTTACGTATCGCCATCAGCCTCACAATTTTAAAACATGTTTGTTAGGGGAAAGTTCCACACCCTTATAGTAATGTTTCGTTCTCCTCAAACCGATGTAGAATCTCATAGTGTATCCTACCAAAAGTTTGAGCTAATAGAGCTAATAAAAATGACGAGGAGGCAAGAAGAGGATGATAATGATAGAAGGATAGGGTTTAAAAAGGAGAAGTGAAAGAGAGTGGGCGGGTGGGGGAGGAAGGAAATGAACGGTGAGGGGAGGTGGAGGGCGCCGCCAAGACTTGACTTGCCGTGTGAATACGAACAAAATTCAACCTTCAAAAGTGGGAGTTGCATTTATAACAACAGGGATGAGGATTACGTTGGCAGCCCTGGCCATGAGCCGTACGGTAAAAGTTTGAATTAATATCAGACATAAACACATTCTAAAGCTATTTTGAATCAATCAAGCAAATGTGAACACAACACAATACTGTCTACATAAATTACATTTATAAGTAGGTATTATAAGAGATCGTTGTTGTCCTTAAAGAAAGATGACGTCTGCTAAATTTCAAAAGCCATCTAACTTCTGTACATTTGGCTTTCAGCTTTTATGGCTTCAACTTTGATTACACCTTCAGCTTCAGAGATTTTTAATGTTCCTTCATATAGAAAACTACATATCTTGCTTAGGCTTTCTGCTCAACTCTGAATAGTCCCCGCCCATCAATTGCAATATCTCCTCCCACAGTCCCTCTGATGAGGAATCTGATGCGCCTCCACAGATTAGATTTGAGCTACAAGCTGCCACATACCAGTAATCTGATTCAATTTCCTCCCTCAATTGATCCAGTTGCCACCCAGCATAACCCACAAAGAATCTGAAGTCCTGAGGTTTAAGGATTCCCTTCTTCACCAGCACTGCAGCTTCATCGAGGCTGTTTCGAGCGCCAAAGCAGAGGCCTGGGATCACTTCTTCAAACCCATGTAGTTTTGATTTTTCTCCTGTTTTCAGCAAAAACATGCTCGCCTCAAGAGGCCCCCCAAAGTGTAGTGAGCAATCAGAAAATGTAGTTGCTAAGTCAAGATTGGTTGGTTTCATGTGCTTGATCTTTTTGTGGAGTGGGCGGTTAATCACAACCCCGAATGGCCCCTCCTGAGGATGTCTGCTTCCAGATCTGAGGAGAAGGATGACTGTTCGCTCAAAAGTGCGAACACCGTCCAACTTCTCTGTGGCAACAAGGACACAGCCAGTCTCAGGTACAGGAATAGGATGTGCCCACTTCAGGCCGAGAGTCTTAGACTCGTGAGCATTTTCACTCTGGACGTCCATGTCAGCTTCGACCTTTTCTGCCTGCAAAATATTCACACCACAAAAAATAGTTGCATTGGAGTTTATATTTCTTTCATTGAACTTGTTTTGTTTGAGACCATATTCTTCAGCAATCCGATAATAGTACTAGAATAAGACGACAAATAGCATTTCCAGTCGGACACCCATAATAGAAAGCAGGACAAAAAACAAATAAAACAAAGCAGGGGACCGGGACCCAACAGGAGAAAAAATTGAAACTAGAGAACTCAGATCGCTTTTGCTCTCACACCTCTTTGACAGAACTTTGCAATACAACTTTAGCCATATATGAGCGGGTTTCTACCCTGAGTAAAAACTTCGAGACGTGGTATCTCATAATTACAAAGTTATACCTCTTTCTTAATAAGGAGTGTGATCAATTTTGATTTCAAAAAGAAGAATGAGAAATCACCTGCTCGCGTGAGAATAAGTTTGCTCTGAATTCTCGCCAGTCCAAATTAATATGATGTGCTTTCTTGGAAGAAGTTTCATTACTTTTGCTGCCATCAGAAATATTGTTTGATTTAGCGTCGTCTCCAGGAACTGAGTGATCTCCATTTTCTGCACTTAAGAAATCAAAACAAAAAAAATAATATTTATCATGGTAGACATAGTAAGAGGAGTCCTATTAACATAGAGGATAAAAAATAGCTCAAATAGTACAGATGATAATATTAGAATGATATTCATAAGGAGAAGCTACCTACGATCCGTGAAACAGTTCACTTTAATTTAAAACATCCAGAGCCTCTCCAAGGGGATGGCGGTACCAAACTTTCATAAAGTGGAGAAGCTTGTTCTTTTTCAGTTACCAAACCTTCCTTTTTTCACAAAGTAGAGAAGTCCCACGAATCTATAGCTATATCCAACATAACACTAAAGTAACATCTACTAAGAAATACCACTAAGCAACGTATTTTCCTCCTTTTTATAACTTTTCGGAGGTCAGTTGAAGTATTGGCTTGTAATGTTTCTATGATTCCTTAACTCCCAGCAATTGTTGAAGGCAGAAACACTAATCTTTGAGAATAGTTAGCTTACGGCAGTGAGCGGAAAAAGCACATGTGGAACATAATAAAAATAAAAAAAGAAAGAAAAAGGAAGAAGTTGAATATCCTCAACGTGTGCAGAGCCACAGAGGATAAAAACATAGCAAATGTATAAATGGCATTAGAGGCATGGAGGGACGAAAAACAATACCAAAGACTAACCATCTATAAGGAGTATACGATGTATAATTTTAGATTTTGAACTTTGAACGATATGTGACTGGAACTCAAAACTGTAAGCAGCAAACAGGATGAGCACATCAGTGGGCCAAACAACCAATTTTTACATTGAAAAATGAAGAGTAAAAAAAAAAAAAATCCCCTAACATCCAATTTCCATGATTTTTTAACAGACTTATGATAAAGTAAAATAATACAACAAGCAAAGTAGTAAGTAATATGGAAATTGTAAGAGAAGTGAGGTATGCACAAAGAAAAATTCCAAAACACAGAATTTTCATCTTTAAGTGCTATAGTGACAAGAGCATCCTCCTCTCAAAATACAACACTTTTTCGAAGATTGATACAACATCATACTAATCTTATTGGGAAAATCAAATATTCTTTGCAGGAATTTCCAACAAAATTGATCCAGCAACAAGAACTAGAAAGAAGAGGAAATTTTCAGGAATGAATTTCGTGGGGCAAAACTCGAGTGTGGAAAGACCTATTCAAAGACTGTGGACTGTGGATGGTTGTTTGTTGATGGGCATGTTTGTCCATGTCGATCATCACAATCGTTTGACCACTATTATTCTCATTAGCTACAATCCAGTGACTTCATTTACCTCTAAATGCAGATATACAAGCTTTCACAACTAAACACCCATACCAAATAGGCACATCTGTGAAAATATAAAGGTTCCTCACCATAGTATATAGTTACGAATTGGGGAGCATGCCGTGAAGCACTCAATACAATCTTTGTGGATGCGCACACCTGCAGCCTTGAGGGTGGTGTGTATGTCTTCTGACTAGCATTGATTAAGTTTGAGCCTGTCTGACTTATATATTAACCTGCGGCTTACTTTCTATAACTAATGTGCATAGCCCCACAATACCTTACTAGAAACAAGATTTTTATCATTTAGTTGATCGTTCTTAAATATTTTCCAACATGGATCATATCCCAACTCTTTAATTACATTAATGAATAGGGAACCCGCAAGAAAACATGCCAAAAACAAAAGATTTTCCAACCAAAATATCATTTTAAAGAGGAAAAAATAAGGTAGTTCGGGAAATGGATTAGTTTAACAGCACAGCACATAAAATGAGAAGAATTGAAGATAATGGTAATAATGAAGGATCCACACACTATGATGGCCAGTATACAAAAGCAAGTCACAAAGGGGAAAAGACTCCCGAGAACAGAAGAAAGTACCGAGTACCATGCATAACCAAGGGGCTTATTTGGCAGCTGGGCAACTAAAACGTATGATGTTAATTAGGAAAACTTGCTCGTCCTAAGCTGGTATTACATAGCTGTACCGAAACTCCGAGAAGCATGATGCTACCAAAGGTCATGTCCTGATTTTAGGTTTCGAGCTTACTTAGCGATTCTGCAATCAATACTATATCATAATTTCCAGCAATCATAACCAAGCAGAGAAAAGGGCCATGGAAATGACAAAAGAAATCCGGAAGCCATGACGTGAAAGAACCTAAACAAACAAGAACAGAAGGAAATTGGGGACGAACAAACCCCAAGGAACGAAGAATCCTGGAAGAAAATAAGTACCAGGAGACGGAGAATTGTCTTGATTCTTTTTCGCAATCGCTCTCACCAGAAAGGAGCGAGAGACAGAAACGGGAGAGCAAATCCTGGGCCTGAATACTCGGATCTCAAGCAGGCGGAGAAGTTGAGCGCCAAAGGGATGTGAACAAGAAAATCTCCTCGAGGGCTTCGCCAAAGAGCAAGAAATGGGTCTGTCGGGAAAGGAGTGTTTGAGTGAGAAGGGCGGTGGGGGAGTGGCGGTGTTCTTGACATTTACAGCAAAGAGATCCATATCGGATACGAATTTGGCCGGGAAATTAGATAGAAGCGTCGGAAAGGATGATCCAATCCACCCAAGAACAGTAGAGATGTGGAGAAAAGAGAAAAGGAGAGAATATTAAGGAGATATATATTGAAGATAGAAAGCCAAACAATCAGCAGCTAACAGTTAAGGTGAAGGCAGCGAGGGAGAGAGAGTGAATGAAAAGGAGATATAGAGAAACACAGACCGAAGATGCCATAATTTAGCGGACTTAATGTTCCCCGCCTGTTACGAGAACCCACTCTTTATTTTTGGAAATCATCAAATTTTCCAAGGTGTCTCGCACATCTTTAAATAATTATATTTATTTTTTTCAAATTTTATAATATTCGTGTTTGTATTACCAAATTGAAAGGTTTTAAAATAATGTTTTTTTATAACAATATTCTTCTTTTTTTAAATAACTTATATATTATTTCAATATATGTAACATTTTTGTGTTTTTAATAATTTAATGGGTTTTTTTGTTAAAATTAATCTTATATTAGTTTTACATGTTAACATTTAAAACAATTGTGAACTTTTCTTTTAACATAGCATTAAAGCTTATTTTTAATTTGAAATACTAACTTATTGTAAAAGAAGACGTTTGCATAGTTGATAGTATTTGTTTTAGAACATTATATTAATACATTATTAAAATAAAGAAAACTTTGAGAGAAACTAATTATGATCGTTTTTTTAAATGTTGAACAATCGCTATTGAATAGGTAAAACAAATTAAAATTTTCACATTTCAGTAAACATAAGTTAGCTATATAGAACTTGTTAATTAGAAAATGAATATATTAATTTATTTTAATTATATATAATATATGGAAAAATAATCTTGTTACAAAAAATAAAAATGAGTGGCGCTCTAATATAGGAGGCAACATTGCTTCATATGTTGTAAATACGCAAAGAAGAATGGAAAGTGAAGAAGCCCAGCCAACGTGGAACATCATCAGCGTATTCATCATAAACAAATCCACTAGCTTTTATGGAAACGGCAGAGACATGTAAAGCTAAAGAAAGCTTGGGGTTACGAGAATGAAACCACAAGGCAAAACTGTTATGTGCAACAGATATACAAAATTATGTTCCTATGCTTGCCTAAATGAATTGGGAATTGAGATATCAACCAACAATGCCTTTCTTGCCTCAAGTTCCGAGTCTTTTGAAGGAGGATGACAAGATCCGAAAGAGTCCATCTGGGTTATCAGCATGCACCTGTTCATACAAAAAGCATGCATGAGATGCCTCCTCCAAAACAATGAGTAATCCGTTAAAGATAAACCGAATCAATTAAATGTGGCTTGGACGAAGCATCACAAAGGTTGTAGTTAAAAAGAAAAACCATACCCAATGACCCGCATCCTCAAGGACGTGCATTTCAACCCCACCTCCCTCTTCAACAGCCAGTTTCTCTGCAGCATGAATTCTCCGAATGTCTTCAAGTGCCCATCGGTGCAAGCTTCTTTCGGCTTTCAAGAAACTGATATGCACACCACGGGGAACATCTTCCACAATTTTCCTACAAAACAGTCGTACGAGATTGTGGAGTCTACTTGGGGGATCGAACTCCAAGCATTTAAAAAAGAATATGTCATAAACAAAAAGTATCTAAAGTAACTACCATAAATCTGTCTCTTCATAGGACTTATACATTTCAGCAATGCCCTTGAGATCAAACGCCCATGAAAAGCCAGATGATGATGAACCACGAGGCCCAATAGGTCGAAGGTTAGTAACCACCCACTGTGAAACGATGGAAAGTTCAATCTCAAACCAAAAGCAGGATTGATATCTTATAAAAAAAAAATGATATTGATATATTACATAACAAGGTTGGTAAGGGTTATAAGCAGGATTGATGAACACCTACTGTAGCAAACTGAATATCAAGAACGCTGAAGTCACAAACCAAAGCAAAAAAATTGTGAAAAACATGCATCATTTATATGGTTTCTTCTTATAAAATAAGGGGCTGAGAACCAAGCTCCGAGAGAACTTCTAGGGCGTTAATAGATCGGGGGAGGAAGTTTTGTATTTGGCACAAAAACTTTTGCTTATCCACCTTTTAGAATTATTTTTGAAGTCCCTGTGATTGTTTGGCTTCTTTTTGGCCCTAGTACACGTTTAATTATTAAGGAGACCAAAAATTAGTGTCTCCAGGAGAATTGATATCCAAATCCCTGAAATTGGTATTGTGGAACCTCTTAACATTATACATATATACATGTGTATGTACATATATAGAGAGATATAGATATAGTATCAGTTATCACAAACAGCGTTTAGCAATTTCCTAAGGGGCACTTCCTTGAATTAGGAAATAAGACATCTCTTACAAAATGATCTTTAAGTTTGATGTCCGATTCAATTACATTATCCACAAAACTTACAATCGGGTGTCGAGCTTTGACTTGTTCTCTCATACATTTTGTACCCCTAATAAATACCCCTACGTATTTCATGCACTACATAAACATTTGTCTTCTTTTTTAAAAAAAGTTCTAATCGCTAAAGTTTTACCATGAAACTTTCTTCCTTCTTTCTTTTATACGTGTTTTCATTGCATAGTATGGTGGTCTCACCCTTGATCCCTAAGTTTCAAATTTTGGGTTGTGTCATTTTGGTATCAGAGCCAGACTCTGAGTACGCCAACGATGACACTAGGCCCCTAAGGGGTGGATTGTGAGATCTCATATTGGTTGGAGAGGGGAACGAAACGTTCCCTATAAGGGTGTGGAAACCTCTCTCTAGTGGATGCGTTTTAAAACCTTAAGAGAAAGCCCAAAGAAGACAATATCTGCTAGCGGTGGGCTTGGGCTATTACAAACATGTTCCCAACCAAGACGTGTCCACAAGTAGAAACATTAACGGAAGAAATTAAACAATAAATAGGGGAATAGTTGCAAAGTTGACTAAATATTTAAGAGAGAGACTGAATCAAAATAAACATCCAAATAATGAATGATGTCTTCGGATAACAGATGCTAAAAAAAGCTGCTAAACACCAGACCCCCCAAAAGACATCTTCGAATGCTATACAAGCTCGAAGAAATTGCTCGACTAAACAGTTTAACAGAAAGATCATATACCTGTGCTACATCCTTAGAAAATCCACGTTGAACAAGAGCATTCACGACATCCTGCTTTGAGGATACCTGTCACCCAAATATATGTATATGAAGTGGAAGAACGAAAGAAAGCATGAAAAATATATAGTGGAATCTCCCGATGAAGATATTGGAATGTGGATATTATAATATAAAACAAAACAATTAGCACCACGAGGCAATTGTAGCAAGAATATTAGAGTGGTTCAAATGCTAAAATAAAAAGATAAACAAAACCAACCAGTGGGGCCGTTTCCTTCCCCCCACCCAAAAGAGAGTGAGAGAAACGAAGGGGATAAAAAAGTACACTGCCATTTTACCTCATTTCGCAGCATACTTAGGAAGGATATTAATTTTTCAGGATGGTCCTCTCCATCTCCACCAGGTCGAACTATACCAGGAGTGGCATCGAGAACCCAAACCTACAGAAAGAAAGAAAAAAAGAAAATAAACATTATGAAAAGGAGGGAACATAAAGAGAAAGGACACAAGCTCTACTTCGATTCTTTGAGGAAAAAGCTTCCACGTATGAACATATTTATAGCATTTAATGACCTTCCACTCCAAAATAGAACATTAATTAATGACTTCTCTAAATTTCTTTCTGTGATTAGAGACATTTCCAAATTCCCAATACCTACGTATTAAGTTTAAAAAAGAGAGTAGTCAGTAGGAAAGAACCTACTCTCACTGGCCGAGCAAGAGGTTTAGCAGCCTGTTCTACCATACTCAAGACAACTGCAAAGAGAATTTTAAGGTGCAGTAAGCACTAGTACCATTAGCACCTGAAAAATTCCTAAGATTTCATGTCAAATTGAGTTAGTGTACATTCCATGTTAGGTTATAAAATACCTTTTCCTCCAAAGCTGTGTCCAACTAGAACTCGAGGTGTTATTTTCAGCTGTCGGACCTAATAAACAATTAATGGAGTTCAGAAAACAGTCGTATATCTTTCTACATCAAACTTAAAATAAAGAATATAGTGTCCTCAAGGAGAAGGAGCAAATGTAAATGATTTCATCGAAAACTAGACAATTGAAGCCAAATATAAGTTCAACATACTATCGTCAATCACGTAGTTTTAATTCTTTGTATACCAAATACAAGGCAGGGGATGATGGCACAAAACATTACATCATTTAGCTACAAACGTATTCATTCATATATAATTAGACTAACAAATTCAAGCAATCCCAACGCTCATTTTCCTACATAGACACTGTAAAATGAAAAAAAAAAAATATATATATATATACTGTTTCCATTCTAATATGTATGCATAGACACATGCACAAATGCATTGCATGTGCATTATAAGAAGAATATTTTTAGACCAAAATGAAGAGGTCTAATTTTCCATAAATTAATATAATTAATTATTTTATGCAATGTCCGAAGACCACGCACCAGCTTCAATACATCAAGAGCAGTAGCAGAAACAGTGTGAGGGCTCATCTTCGTAGTAAAGGTTGAATCTCCATGACATCGCAAATCCACCAAAAGAAACTGCAAAATAACAACAAATGAATGAATGTAAGCTCAACATCATTAAAACTTAAAACCAAGATGCACTCCTTAAATTTCAGCCAATGGTGTTTAGATATTAAAACTTACAAATGCAACCAAAAGATTGAGAGAACAGTAATTGGATAGATATAAGAACACTGAGCAAGCTGCAAGCATGAGTTAGGTGTTACCGTGTGGTTTTTAATGCTAATGCAAGCATGAAAAAAATTGTCTTGTGAGAAACACAAAAAAAATAATTTAAAACATGCTTTAAGTTGTAGCTTCAACCTTTTTCACTCCAAGAAATATATTTTTTAGAGGAAAAAAAAAAAAAAAAAAAAGTAGACCCCCCATCCCCAATCCTCCCACACCATTAGAAAAGTTACCTGCCATGCTGGAAATTCTTTTGCCAACCTTCTAGCAAAGGTTCCTGTAGCATAAGGTATCAAGTGAGCACTCCAACTATCAAAGCTACAGTTACAAAAGGCCAAAAATAGAGTTATGATCTTCACATCTAAATTTCATATCTATTCTTTTACATGTGCGACACACACACACAACACTCGGTCCAAGTTTCCACCATCTTC